AAAGTTTATTTGACATTGCGAAAGTGGGTGAATATATTTGTACTGCGATATAGGTCCCTTGTCGGCATTCTTTGATGTTTTTAGGTACCTGAACATCGCAGTAATATATTCACCCACTCCCGCAATATTAAATAAATTAATGCCCCTTTAAGTTATATATTTTCTGGAAGGGAAAACATGAGGATTCCGAATATGCCCCTCATGTTGCACTTCTTTTTCAAAGAAAGAAGCTACAAGTTTTCAGGAGAAGCCGCTTAATTGAAACCTGGCTCTCTCTCAAATTAAGTCAAATCACTCTGGAGTTTTGTTGCTTGGTCAAAAGAAGTTCCTCAATACTGCTAATACCCTCGCAAAACAATCTTTTCATAGTAGCTGCCTACAGAGGAGGTTTCTGATGAGCAACGCAGCTGAGTGGCAAGACTGGCTTACGAACAATTCTAGGTATTTCTTGAAAAATAAAAGCGAAGTACTACATAATATACATCATTCAAAAGAGGAAATTCTCCTCTTTTTAATTTATACGGAACTATCACAACTGACGACAGGTGCACAAAGGTTTCCAACCCAAGAAAAATGACCTGAAAAGATCTCATCCTTGTAATAGTTCTGTGTCTGAATCATTTCTTTAGCATTGATCCCCTGCAAAGAATAGCTTATTTAGGCATAATTTATTTTCATATAGTTTGTTATGATTCAGTAGTTTTTGATGTGTTTACTTACCATCTACTTGCAATCTTCTGTCCGCGGAGGATCTGCAGAGCATACGAGGTAGTTCTTTTTTTTTACCTTTTCGAACGAGTCATTACTTCACTTGCCCCCTGAATCCATGCAAGAGAAGTCTACCAATCCTGCATCAATTGTAATTCCTAGACACGCTGCCAACCGCTCGAAACTATGTACCTGGTTGTACATCCACAACGATGTAATTCGCGGTCGCTTTGTGTGATACATATTGGCCAATGATAATGGGGGTTAGCAAGTTCTAACGGCGCTTTTCAGCAGAACACTCGCTACACAAGTTTGAGGTAAAAAGTTTACAGAATGATACATTCCTTACTCATTGACGTAAAACTAATACATGTCAGCAAGAACCCTACATTAACAAGTATATTAGTATAGTAGTATTTACAAACCATTTACAAGTACATCAGAATATTGCGCGCAACAACGCTGTTCGCTAACCATCTTATTCTGTTATTTGCCTTTCGCTGTGTTCTGTGAAACATATTGAAAGATAATTATTCACCAAGACCGGCTGGGTATCCACAAGCACGCTGAGGTCGTATTGTTTCTCAAAGTATTCGCTTAAAGTCGTAACAGTTCCGTCAGTTCTTGCAAAAGTAGACTGTGGTGTCATGTCGTAGCTGATAGAAGTGATTCGATACATTTTGTTGTTGTACCTGAAAGCTTGAGTTTGGAATCGAACGGAGAAAATTACGTTGACTTCTCGTCAATCTCTAACAAGATGCTTATTCGCAAGCATACCGAGCAAATACCGTCTGTCCCACAATGATTTCTTCCATCGCTGCTTGAAAACGAGCTCGATCATGTCGAGCACGGAGGTCTTCAGCGCACATCTGAACACTTGGTTTCCATCAAAGATTAATCACTACATAAGAACACTTTTGGAACAGTCACATACAATCTCCCATACAGATTCAGTACGGATCATTTTGAAACGATTTTCGATGCAGAGCATTAGTTCATCTTGTTCATAGTGCCGTACAGCGGTTTCAAATCCTGGCCATATCTCCATTTGATAATCACAAAGTGATATCTTCGCTTTATCATCATAGTGGTTTCTCCCCAAACGTTTGAGACCAACTATATCCAAACAGCTAAAAAAAACTTGCCGATTTTCTGTTTTGGAGCTTCTAGAGATCATACTTGCGGATAACAATATTATAGCAATTGATAGTCTGAGGATCCTTTTGTGAAAATCTCACGCTTATACGGAGTCGCACGGTGACCACTTCGTTCGTAAGAGGATGAATTCCAACGTACTCTCCCTAAACCAATGATAAAATCACAATCGGATTGACATAAGATAATGCAGTAAGAAAAATAGGCCGTCACTATGACGTCATTAGTGTCTTTGACATTTCAATGAATTGTGTGTCTCAAGCAGCTACCAGTTTGGTTCCGCTAGCCCTTAACAGAAGAGAACGCAAGCATAGCGGTTAAGCTTGGATTATTTATCCACGCTTTATCTGATGATGGCCATTTTTAAACTTTCTCTTCTCCTCCTCCTC